TTAGAGCGCAAATAACGATGGTTACACCGCTATACGACATACGTTCGCCTCTCTCGCCAAATATGTATAGCCAACTCGTCGATCACTATCACACTTTGCCCCGCCGCGGTGGTCAAGTGGCTAAGGTACTCGGCTGCTGACCCGCAGGTCGCGGGATCGAATCCCGGCTGCGGCGGCTGCATTTTCGATGGAGGCGGAAATGCTGTAGGCCCGTGTACTCAGATTTGGGTGCACGTTAAAGAACCCCAGGTGGTCAAAATTTCAGGAGCCCTCCACTACGGCGTCCCTCATAATTATATGGTGGTTTGGGGACGTTAAACCCCACATATCAATCAATCAACCATCAAACTTTGCTAACGCCTCAAGTGGGTGTAGAGCACCTATAACCTCAGTACGGGCTTTCTTAATGTATCCTTATCGCGACAGTCTCTAATATGAGGTACCTGCTGGCGGTCGGCTTAATTTGTGATAGCATCCGGAAGCTGGCTAAGATTGCCGAAACCATGTCCGTCTCAAGTTACTAGTTGTCTTGCTGGGGCATTTAATTCGCACTTTCTGTTGCGTAAAAAGAAAGAAAAATGCCAAACTATGTGAATAAACTAAAGGTCAACATAATATAAGAAAAGGCGGGTGTACCGTATGGCTCCTGGGAGAGGGTAGCAACCATATATGAGTGCATGCACGGTTGTGCTTTCATGCTATGTACCCTTTCCCATGCAGCGTCACAGCCCTTTCTCATCGTTTTATAAGTGCTAGAGCATGTTTATATAGTTATACCTCGATCGCACGTCTATTTATAAACACTAAACACGTTTATTAATTTCTTAAATTCAATTATAACTTTATTTCAAAGAGGCTCCATATAGGGGGCATCAGTGTACCCATTGATCGTTCATATACCTCCATGCTATAGCGTGAAAACAGAATATTCACCGAACTGTGCCGTGACTGTCATCTGGTGGTAATGATAGAAAATTCATCACGCTACAGATTTCGGTCTGGCGCAAGACATTTCTAGGATAAGCAATAAACGTTGGCGCGAAAAAGATTGGGCAATTCTGTTGAACAGTGTAAAATATCTACAGTGCTCCCTCAAGCTTCTCAATAATAAGTGGCATGTCGTGGTGCACGAAACTGCAGCGGCTTGACTTGTCTCGACAGTCGCGATATAGTGCTGCACGGGCATCAAGGCACCGTACGGCACGTACTTGTATGGCGCCCCCGCATTGTCAAAGAAGGAAACTGCAAACGAACCCTGAGCACCTACGTCCTTTCAAACGAGGGAATCACTTTATTTTTTAATGGAACGGTCAAATTTTACACAATCCAATGAACTTGGTATACTTATGAGTCTAACCATTCGCTTAAATATCAGCCTTTCTTGTGAGAGCGTGCGCGTCTTTGATTTTTTTTTTTTTGCGATAAAACAGTGTAATTCGTAAGAAACGGGTGTTACAGGTTGAGTCATTTGCCGTTCGCACTCACAATGGCTGTTTACATGCAGCTTATACACGCTGCATAATGTTGCAACAACAACAACAAGAAATCGAAGCGTTTGTATATCATGAAGCTACAAAGTAAATTTGTACGTATTTCTGAAAAGCTTTATTAGTTGTCGAAAATTTTGTCCTGGTTCATGATCTGGATCCGGCAGCGTAGCGGACTCCCGAAGCGGTCGTTGTAAAGGATCCGTGTTCACAGAACGCAGCAAACTAATTGAAAACTCGAAGCACCGGGACCCTGAGTACGGGAAATCAGTTTTGCAGTACGTCGCAAAGCAAACGAAGTTTTCTTTTTTTTCATGTTTTTCACTGCAGTTCGGGCAAACGGATTTGGGAACATCTGCAAGTAGCGTCATCTGTCGTTGGTTACAGCGGTGGCCTGCCGTAACTGAATGAAAAATAGGCGAAAAAAATCTCAGTTATCAAAAGCGCCGCACTACGAACCACATGGCTTCCTAGAGTGTTTCATATTTTTACATGTGAGGTGAGATGATCGACGAGGCTGTATGGGAAATATATTATATGCAGCAGTAGCGGCGTCACCGGTCAAGTATAGGGGCCAAGCGGAGACAGACCTTCGTCCTCTTCGACGAGTACACACGCGTGTCGCCGCATAGAATGTCAATATGCATACATGTAGCAATATTTAACATTGGGGTCCCATGTGTTTCTATGAGCGGTGTTCATTTGTGCTGGGAAGTCAGACGCTTTGTAGTCCGATACTGAAATTTTGCCAAAATTTACCAGTGGGTGTCTGCTACATACAAGCCGGAGTCGTTTTTGTAGATTTTTTTTTCAAGAGATATGATTTTTCTAATCTATGTCCGATTCAGTTATGGCAGGCGGCCGTACCCGCCACCGAGAAATGGCGCCACGTCTAGATGTCCCTACCCATGTCCCTACCGTGACCCTGCCCTACCGTGTCCCTACCCGATGTCCCATACGTTATCTTTCTAAGCTGTAGAAGGGATGCATCCCTTCTGATCAATGAAAAGATTAGAAGTAAGGGAGCTCAGTGGCTGGCAGAAGTACATAAAAAAGATAGAAAGGCAGCTGCCAAATTTTGGAACCATCTAAACTTCCTAAGAAATGAGACGAGCCTAGATCAGAGGTTTACAACTACAGCTCAAGGTGCTAGGCTAGAAGGGGACGAAGCTATTGAATATATAAGAACAAGGGTGACAGAAAAATTTCAGCAAAGAAGTGCTTTAGGCACCACAATAGACAAGGATGAATCAAGTGGCGCAATGGATTCATTTTCACAACGAGAGTGGGAAAGGGCTGAGAAAAGGGTTCCTAGTAGTACATCAACAGGCCCAGGTGGCATTCCAATTATGCTGATGAAGACATTAGGTCTGAAGTCTAAGAAGGCTTTGAGAGAGGCAGTGAGCAAAATAATAATCGATGGTGAAGTCCCCGATGGATGGAAACCTATAGCAGGATGAGCATGATCTATAAAGGAAAGGGGGACAAAGCTGACATAAACAACTACCGTCCTATAACAGTGACATCGGTGGTCTACAGGCTGATGATGCAGATTATAAAGGAAAGACTGCAGGAACGAATAGAGGATGAGGGGGTGCTGGGGGAACTGCAGAATGGGTTTCGGAAACACAGGTTGGAAACACAGGTTGGAAGACAATCTGTTTTCACTGACGTAGTGCATCGAAATAGCAGAAAAGGAACACAGGCCCCTGTGGCTAGCATTTTCGGATATCAAGGGAGCTTACGATAGCGTGGTTCAAGAGGACTTGTTGGGAATACTGGACACACTAGGTGTGAAAAATGGAGTCACTAATCTTTTAAAGGATATCTATAAAGGTACCAAGGCAGTTATAAAGTATGAAAAACAGGTATCCAAGCCTGCAGATGTAAAACGGGGGCTTAGGCAGGGGTGTCCTCTGTCACCCTTGATATTCATGATGTACCTACAAGGATTAGATGCCAAATTAGAGGGAAGTGGACTGGGCTTCAACCTCTCTTTCGTGAAACAAGGAAAACTCATTGAACAGGCACTGCCAGGATTGATGTACGCAGATGATATTGTGCTAATGGCCGACAACAAGGAAGGTTTGCAGAGATTGATGGACATCTGCGGTAATGAGAGATATAGGTTAGATTTCAGATTCAGTAAGGAAAAACCAGCAGTCATGATTTTTAATGATAATTGAGGTAGTGAGCTTAGAATACAGGAGGTCACACTAGAGATAACAGATAAATACACATATCTGGGTGTATGGATAAGCAATGGGGCCGAGTACCTAAGGGAACACGAAATATACGTGAGGACTAAAGGTAATAGGGATGCAGCGGTTATGAAAAACAGTGAACTGTGGCATTGCAATAGATACGAGGTTGTGAGAAGAATATGGAAAGGAGTCATGGTTCCTGGTGTGACGTTCGGCAATGCGGTCTTGTGCATGAGATCATAAGTTCAAGCAAGATTAGAAATTAAGCAACGTGGAATAGGTATGCTCGCCTTAGGAGCTCACGGGAAGACACCAAATCAGGGAGTACAAGGTGATATGGGATGGACATCATTTGAGGGCAGGGAAGCTAACAGCAAGATAAAATTTGAGAAGCGATTGAGAGAAATGGAGGAGGAGCGTTGGGCTAGGAAGGTTTTCAACTACTTGTACATGAAGAATGTTGATACAAAATGGAGGACGCGAACCAGAAAATTGACTGGTAAATACTTAGAAAACAGCAGGGGGCCAAACCAAAAAGTATTATCGGTAAAGAAGAAGGTGAAGGAAGCTAAGACCGATATGTGGAGAATCGGCATGATTAAGAAGTCCGCACTAGAGATCTACCGAACTTTTAAGCAGGAAATCGCCAAGGAAAGGATCTATGATAATACTCGGGGTATTTCTCTACCGTTTGAGGCCAGGACGGGAGTATTGCGAACCAAGACATATCGGGCCAAATACGAAGAGGTAGACGCGGTATGCAGTGCGTGTGAAGAGGAAGAGGAAACTGCCGAACACTTGAAATGCTCTGTAAAGGGCTTCACCCTATAGTTCAGGATGATGGCGCAGTTTTTGAAATCACTGGGGTTTAGGGACAGGGAGGGCAAAATAGACTTTAAGCGGGTAGAATTAACTAGAAGGAGGTTATCTGATTGGTGGCTAAAGTCAAGGCACGAGTGAAAATTAAACCCTTCACTGCAAAGTACGAATCCTCAACCTCATTATTTAAAGGAAAAAAATAAATTTAGTTTTTGGTTCACTGAGTATTGCGACTTGGTGGCGTTAGCCACCGCCCGATCTAAAGGGTACAGCCATGTCAATCCATCCATCCATTCATCCTAATTCCTGGGAATGGCTCTTTCGCCGAACCGTTTCCTCACGTGAAGCCATCGCAGTGACCAATTGAATATTGCTCGCAAAGGGATTTTGTCGGCCGCTCATTGCGTCACATCTCGTCACCTCTCGTCCACGAAAGAGGCTGATGTCTAAAATACAAGGGTGCGCGTATAGCCTTCCGAATGACGCATTCTCAGGCGAATAGTCGTTGCCTTCTCAGCAGGAATAGCTCGTGCAGAGTGGCGTGCGGCACGGCTCTGAGCGCTGGCAGCACGAGCAGGGCCTGTCCGAACCGAGCCGGGCTGTGGGGTCTCGTGTGCCGCATGTACTGCTGCAGAGCCAGGTGGGACTGCTCCAGCAGGCACTCCACCTGGCCCAAGGCGCACAGCTCTCGCTGGCAGTCTGAGACACAGGGAGAGCAAAAGATTTGCCAGACAAATCAATCACTGAACTTGGGATGAATCAATGGTGCATCTTTTTGTATTTTTGAAGTTACTGCGTCGTAGTTTTCACTTTTAGTCACGTTTTCGTTCTTGTCGTTGTTTAACAAAATATTAGATTTGTTTAACTTTTTCGAATCTTTTCGTGAAAACCGCGTGGGAATCATTTTGTAGGCAATAAAGAAAAGGTCACTCAGACATACTAAAGAGGAGGAAAGATCAAGCGGTAGGACAGGGAGGTTAGCCAGTTCCAGACGCACCAAAGAAATACATTTTGTGCCTATAGGACTCACTCGGAGTCAGACTCACTTGAGCATAGCTCAGCCCGAATCACTTCGACTCATACTTTCGGGCCGATCTGAGTCTGAGTGAGTTGACTCATCTGTGAGTTTGCCGAATCGTGGTGAGCATTAAGCGACCGGAAGTCAAGTCAGAGTTGCGAACCGACGTGATTTAAAAGCCTATAGTCGGCAGACACGTTTTCCCATTTTCGCGGGCTTCCCTGCCAGACTTGATAAAAACATGGTCGCTCAAGAAGAACGAAATACACGGCTGGATTGACAGCTCTTTAGGATCGATGACCAATTTTTCACTTCGAGGCTTTTATTACATTTGTCTGCGAAGTTGATTAATACAAATTTTGCAGTTAGACGAAGAACAACAGACTGATGTCGCTTAAGCGACGGCAAGCAACAGTACTTCGATTTTTCCCAGCTACATGACAGGCATATTTTATAAGACATGGCGCAGGTTACGTGGGACACCGTATCTAATACAGTTTTAGACACCTTCCATTCTTATAGGCTTTCGTGTGAACCGCACAAGTTGACGATCTTACATTCTCGTTTAACTTTATACCACCCGAGTCTGTTCACTGTACTTTGCATTTAAGCCCGCCCTGACGATTGCTAGCTCCGTGTCTGCTGCTCGGTTGCAATTTCAAGCGCCTATGTACCAGTTCACCTTTTCTGCAGAGAAGTATGGTTTCCAGGAGGGTCCTCTCGATGGGGTCGAGGGCCAGCGCTTTGCACTGTGCGATGGCTTGCTGGATTTGTCGGACGCCAGACTGGAGCTCCGCCTGCAGTGCAAAGGCGCTTGTAATATATATAGCAGACCGCTACGAATGACACTGCTATCCCGCAAGTTCACCACGATTGCTGCACAGGCGCACCAGTGCCTGAGCAAACGCATGCATGAGCGTGATTTTAAGGCAAACGCCTTCGACATATATCTATTTGTCTGGGCAAAATTAAGAAAGAAACTGTCCACCTAGTTCAGTTCATAGTTTTTGAAGTTAAAAAAAATCTCACCCCGAAGCTAGTGCTTATTAGTAGTTGTCTTCCTCTCCACGGCGAGGATGACGGTGGGCAGAGGGAAGCCACTAAATATTTCGGCGCCGGCTGGACAGTCATCCCCTGAACAAGAAACCCAGGCACTGCGCCATGCTCCCTACCGGGCTGCAGAAATTAGGTACATTTTTCCCCTTCTAACCACTACCACCAACAAGAAACCTATATGCTTTCCATGGCATCGTTGTCGGTTAGTTCTCGCACATAGTTTTCATACAGCACGTGCCCTCGCCAAAGGGAGCTCTTTGTTTCTTTTGCTCTTTGAGCACTTTGATGGTGACGAATAGAAGTATGGAGTGAAGAAAACACAGAACAAATTGGAAAGAAGAAAGCGAGGTGGAAGAAAAGAAAAACGAGAGGGAAACAACGAAGGATTGCAGCCCTTCCCGACATGTTCGGCACTACTATAGTGCAAAGCTGCTTTAATTTTCCTTTTTTACATGCCTCTCGGTTTACCTGGAATATTGTTAGATACCGACGCAGAGTAGAAGAGGAAATGTTCCTGCACTCCTTGCGAGTTTGACATTGCATGTAATAACGTAAAGTTCTCAGTCCTCCATTTATTTCTATTTTACTCTTGGGCTTCGCGCTATATGGATCTTGCTTCGTTTACAAAAGTATTCGGCACTTGACTTAACATTCGAAGGGCATTTTGCTGGACTGTTAGTGTTAGATAAGATTTGACAATGCCGGTATTTCAACACACCTATAGCTTGCGGGAATCTGGTCTCGTTTCCGCTTGCACAAAGTATTAAAGCGAAATCTTTGTACTGTTTTTTTCTGGCACTACCATAAACCAGCAGCCATAATTCGCACGTTCACGTCCTTTTTCTTTTCTTTCTGCTATGGTGATGCGAACCAAATCGACAACACGTACCATGCCTTTGGCGTAACAGACTGGACCCGGCTGTTCTGCAATTTTCAGTGCCGTATACCTGACGCGCGTGGATAACAGTGGTTGTGAGGTTAGACTCTTCCAATACGCCTTTAAGGTTTCAATTTTCCTAAATTCCAGGAATCTAGCAGCAACGCACGTTTGAAGCAAACGCACCCAAATGTTATGTTGTGTTTGACGTCACAGCTCTTCAGTTGATAGTTGATCAGAGATACACTGAGGTAGTACAGGCAGTTTTTCCTGTACGTTTTGAGTGACTTCACTGTATACAGAAAGCAAGAAGCGTATTAAACAGACGTAAGCCAGCTTCGCAATGGTTGTGCCAAGCCCGGTGCGACGCTGGTCGACCTTCTTCATCACTTTTGTGGGGTCTCGAATTGGCGAGCACCACGCCACGCTCTTGGAGTGAAAGGGCACAGTAGACACGGTCGGTACAAACCGAAGAACAACGTACATTTATTTATCTAATTTAGAACGACGATATCATCCGCTGAGTCAATACATCAATCGTTAACAACACGCTAGGACATCATCCGTACACAATATTACTATACACCCCATGACAAACACAATAACATGACGAACACACAATAACATGACAAACACTATAACACGCCCAAGGCGGTCGCCAACGCTTGACTTACGACGAGGGGCCCCGACGCGCAGCCCGCGGTGCCACGCACCGGGGACCCACGCTACAGACAACCGTTCACGGCAACTGCCACGCACAGAAGACACTCGCTCAACTCTCTCGCCCGCCACCAAGGCTTGCCTTCCGCCAGGGGTCACCGCCGGCGCTACCACTCTACCATCCATGATGATGATAGTGGTGATTAACGCGAACACAACGCCACCTACCGCCCGATGGTTGTAACTCGAAATGCGGCTTTTGGGTGAGACACGTGCGCCACGCGGCGCAAACAATTTTACGGGGGGTGTCAGCACCCCAACACTGTTTATCTCTTTATTTCTCCATCTCATCTTTTCTTTCTTTGAACCTACGACCTTCGAACCTACAACCTTCGAACCTACGACCTTTGAGTAACGCGTATCAGAGCATTGAACGCGTTATTCGAAGGCCATAGGTTCGATTCCCGCTCACGGCAAGTTATTTTTTCACCCACTTTTCTTTTTTCTTATTTACATTACTTTGGTTCTAATAACTTCCCCTATACATTCCGTGGCATTATTGTCTGTTAGATCTCATATATATATATATATATATATATATATATATATATATATATATATATATATATATATATATATATATATATATATATATATATATATATGTGTGTGTGTGTGTGTGTGTGTGTGTATTTGTCCCTTCTGTTTTTTCTAGTTCCTTTCTTTGTCTCTTTCTTCTTGTGTTTATATAATTTTCTGATATTTCTTTTTTTTTCTTTTCTCCGTTTCTATCAATTTCTCTTTCCCTTTTAATTTCTATGCGATATGGTTTACTCCCTCTCGAATTCATTTTCTTCCTCCTGACATCCAGTTCCCTTTCCCACCACTTTGGCACGCTACTCTATACAAGGCAATTTTTTTTATTAAATGTATGTAAGGAGAGGTTGGTGCTAATGCGTGGCGCCGGCTACTCCTCATACAATGCTATGTTTATGTTCTGCTAGTGTGCCTGGATAGCTGAGTGATCACGATGATATCGCCTTCAGGTCGTGGGCATGCGGTTTCGAATACCGCCTTGTCAATAGATTTTTTGTCGCCAGGAATTTCTCTCTATTTCTCGACTTCTCTCTCTCTCTATCACTCTCTGTACTTTTTCTCTCACTGATCAGAGTTATCCCATCCTACGCTGGACAAATCGGCGCACGTGCTCTGTGAGGGAAGCAGAAGATGAGGAAGAGGACGAACACAGTGCGTGTCGATTCATGATGCTGGTAGTTTTCTGTTCGTGCACTACAACCAACAGCTTACATAAACAACTCCGCAGTTAAAAATCTGCGATTATATAGAACGTTTAATTCAAATAAGCACTGCCCATTGTGCAGAGACGTTTTAACCATACAGTTTAGAAGCAATGGGTTCACTGGTGTTCTGGTACATCTTGCAAACACATAAGTCGGACTGACTATAAGTATAGTAAGCATGCATTTAAGCACATGGACAGGGGCGTGGGTTCTTGCCACACTATACTACCCGATTATCTATAGACGCCTAATTGTGTACGTACCCCGAGAGCAACAGACGCTGCCACGTGACCCATGAGCAGCAGCACGTCGAGCGGCCAATGGGCGGCCTGCAGCAGGAAGAGCTGTGGCCACGCCTCGTCCAGTATGGCGGCCTGGTCTCCCGCGGGCAGCGTTCGGAACAGCTCGTTGGCCCGCGCCCGGCGCAGAGCCACCAGCAACACCTGCGCCGCCACCTCGTGCAGCAGCACTTCTTCGCCGCCGCTCAGACGCTGCTGCGGCAGCCGGTCTGGTGACGGCGCGCACGCCATGGGCACGGCTGCTGCATGCGTTACCGCAGAATAACGATATTCAGTTTTCGGAATCTCGCAAAGTGGCGAAAGGGTTGAGAAACGTGAAAGTGATGACACGCTTTTCTAGCGTGAAGCTACAGGAGAATCTGTACGGATTTCTCAGAAAAAAGTCTTTTCAGTGGCCGGAAAATTCGTCCTGGTCCGGGAGGGAACCAACACCTTTCCGGGGTGGTCACTCTTCCAACTAAGCTATATATACCGAATGTGCAGGTTCAACTGCTCATTGGTCTGTGCACGTGTGGTTTCTGGTGAGTCAATTAGTCACATCAATTGTTGGGGTTTCACGTCCCATAACCATGATATGATATGAGAGACGCCGTAATGGAGAGCTCCAGAAACTTGGCCAACTGGTTTTTTTTTTTTTTTAACCGGTACCTTATTCTTAGCTCACGGGCTTTTAGCATTTTCGCCTCCATTGAAGGGGCGGGTCGGGATTCGATCCCGCGACCTGCGGGGGTCAGGTCACGTCGCAGCTTCCGGTGATACGGGTTAGCTTTATCGGCAGCTCCACCGCCGCGAAAATGCATTGGTGTTGAGGTTGATCCCTGGAGCCGGACAAGTTATTTGGCAACGAAGGAGCTTTTTTCTGAACAATCCGTTCGCGTTTCCTCGTGGTTTCGTACTACGTATGGATTGTAAATGTCTCTTTTGTACACAAGTACGTTCAAGGCCTCCTAGGAGACCACAGAATTCGGATGGCGGCATAATATACTGACCACATCCGTTTCTCACAACTGTCAATGTTTAGCATTAGGCAAGTAAAAAAAAAGGTAACCATGGCGTTATGACGCTAAGTTAAATGAGCAGTGCATCATCTTCTCGTGCACGACTGTTGTGTGCTACCGGTAATTTAAGTGCTATCCTCTCACTTTACCCAAACGACTTTTCTTAAAGAGAGCTGTCTGACCACCATTGTGAACGAGCGCTGTCTTCAGATAATGTTGAGCACAAATAAACAAATTTAGAAGAGTGCGGAGTAAGCTTGTCGGGTGTCCACTTTTCCGTCATGCTCTCACTGTGCCTGGAAAAAATAGGCAGAACGCTTGGCTAGGTTAAAGTTTGCTTTCAGTCACCACTTAAGAGGGAGATAGTCATGTCTCTCTGCAGTGGGGACGTTGAGAGATGTCCATAATGTAGAACCCATGCTAAACGTACAATTCTAGCACTATAGTTGGCTTCTATATCTCCAACGAGTGAAAACCACTTGGATTCCCCGTTCGACACCTTCAGCCAGTCCTGCACGGCTATGCCTTCCGCGGGAGCGTCGTTCAGAAAAGACAACCAGATCTTTCATTCAATTGGTGGTGCTCTTATAGGCCCCGGTGCAGCAAATATACGATCTTCTGTAACGTATAACATCTTTATATCGCACGTCCCGTTCCTCTCTTCCCGTTAAAGCTACAGCGCTTCCAGAGTGACCAACATTACCTGACAGCAATCTTTCAGTGATCTAGCTGTAAGAAACAAACATTGAGAGCCAGGTGGCCCCAGCTACCGGCCTCCCAATCGCCGGCTTCCGAATGAAGTCACTTCACTCACGCACTTAACACAAGTTCTGCGGACTACGATCGCGTGTGTCTTCGTCGTCTTTGTATTTCGCTGAGTGAACCGTGGCTCACGCCCTCACAAGCAGATAGATCAGGTGGTTATACAGAAAGTCATAAAAGGTAGGTGTACGTTAGTATATAATGAATTGCGTATCAAGATAGAGGTACAAGTGCGCAGCTTAAAGTATAGTGTTTGCATGTCTTGTTTCTCTCCTACCTCCAGTTATCATTTATAATAGCGTTTTTTTTTTTCTACAAACGACAGCTGTACTCCAAAAATCGGTTTCGCATAGCGTTCTTGACAGGAAAGTATAGTGACCACACAGTTTTTGAAAAAAAGCAGACGAAAGCGACGCGTATAGCTATTATTGTGGTTCCTTAAAGGTAGTGCTTTGGTGATGTAAACTTTTTCAACTAGCGCCTCCTCTCCCCCACCCATTTTACCATACGCAAAGGGAGAAAGAGATAGAGAGACGCCAATTGGCTCGTTTCACTGACGTCACGGTCTATATAGGCGAGCGTCCTTCTGATCTCTTGCGCGGCCACTTCTGGTAATATCCGAGTTTTTACGTCCCAGAACAACGATATGATCGCGAGAGACGTTTTAGCGGAGGGCTCCAGGAATTTCGACCACGTGGGATATTTTAATGTGTACCTAAGTTCAGGTATACACGCACCTCTATAGCGTTTTTCCATCATCAAGCTGTGGCTGCCGCGGCCGGGATTTGATCCCGTGGCCTTAGATCAAACACCCTGCTCGACCACTTCCTGATTTCCATCATTCTATTGAGATTGAAGCGATGCGTGTGGTCGGGTTCTCGTGGAACGATTTCGCTTATCAACGCGATAAGGTTTAGTAGCAGTGGTTATCCGTGCAACATTGAGATTGAGTAGTGTCACAGTATATTGAGCTGGAAAATCTCTGAGGGCATGGAATCGGTGCATTGATAATATCTTACGCCACTAGGGGGTAGCACCAACTATATATGTTCAATGTAGGGGCTGTAGTCGGCGCTTGTTATAGTTAATGAACAATTTTCATTCATCGTGTACACATGTGTATGCATTATGGGTAATTCGAAATAATCGGCAATATCTCGCCAAAGTAATACGTCCCGCGTCAGCGATGCATATTTAGTCTAATAAAGCACGACACATTTTTCTTGTTTGCGTGCCAAAACGGACGATAAATACTCAAAGTAAGAAATATGCTTTTTTATTACTTAGAACAACAACATCTATTCGTGTACGAGCAAACAAAGAAGTAGTTGCTACATGTAGCCACTGAGACGCACCGCTCTGCGACTGCGCCGCTGGTGTAGTTTTCACGAACTTGGTCTGTGTCATTTGTACCCTCGTCAGTTAGTTAATCGGTTTATGTTTTTCCGAAATAATCGAGACCCATTCATACGTACTGTTATACAGCTTAGGCTTGGAAGACGGTTGCCAGAATTTGTGGTAGCATCTGTTCACATGAAGGCAAGTATTAGAGGTTTCTTAAAAGAAGTTGTTGATTCATGTCTCTTTCTAAAAACGCGTTTTTCATTGGAATACCTCAGTACGGTTTCGCGTAAAATGTTATACAAAAATTTAGTAGAAACAGTTCTTCCTGTTCCCCTATATAGAGCATTATACCGTGTAGGCCCAGGCCAAAATGTCTTAAGCCGTGTAAAAAAAAAATGGAGGTATCACCTGGAGCGAAATCCTTTTTCTTTAAGTTGCACACTGGGACCTTGCCCGTGAAAACATGGATGCAAGAAAAAGGCTTATTCGTTCCTTGGGGTGTTGATTGCCTTCTCTGCAAAAAGCCGGAAACAATTGAACATGTTTTCCTGGACTGCTGGGATGCAGTCTTTTTCTGGAATGTTCTCCAAAGGACTTCGAAAAAGGATCTGCTTCTCGATGCCTATGGCATCAGATTTCTACCAGTATCAAATGAAGAAGGAATACCTTTCGACCTAGTTATGTTACTGGGCCTGCACGGTATATGGCAATCTAGAATGGCGATGTGCCATGCTGATGTCAATGCACGTCCGGTTAGGCAATATTTCTTTCAATCTGTCTGTTCGTTCGTGGAATCACAAAAGGTTCAACAAGAGGTGCCCGAATGGCTTCATCAAGTAGAAAGCCTTCTACAGATGAAGGAATTTTAAAAAGCCTGTTAAATATGGTGCTTTTTACCTCTTTTTTTTTGTTTCATGTTTCTTTTTGTTTGATGTATATATGTTTGTGAATGTTGTATGTACACAGGCAATAAAGAAAGAAAGAAAAAGCGCCGCTGGTGTAGTGGTATCATGCAAGATTCCCATTCTTGTGACCCGGGTTCGATTCCCGGGCGGCGCAATACTTTCTTCTATGTTCTTTTTTTTTAGGAGGAGAGCGGGGGAGCGCAGTTGTGGTAGCGTTAGGTTACTTCGATTTCTACCATGGATTGAGCCGTTAAAGTCTAGAGACTGACGATGATGGCGAGGTGTTTTGCCGATCGTATGGTTGGTTCAAAAGACTGCGCCTCCTGCATTGGAGCAGGGCTGCAGTACAAAACTATTAGCTTTCTTTCGAACATCAAGCAGATGTGGGGAGTCCTTGCACGCAAATGAACGTCGTAAGCGTGATCACCGGTTCTCGTGTTTTCTAAATTGTACCCTTGAGAAAGAAATTAGCGTGGCTCTATGAATGCGAGACTCAGGGGGAATGGGAGTGGTACTCACATCGGTTCTTGCGTAAGCTCAATTGGGTAAGGATGTGACGTCAACAATGTTCATGGTATTTTAGTGTGGAGAGCCTCATTGGATATTTTTCTGATGAATTGATGTTTATGCCAATTTTAGCTAACTATATGACTCCCAACTTTGCCATACAATAATGTCAACTTTGTCATATACAACGCTCATCTTAGCCCAAATACCACTCCGTTTATACCCGTTTTCAGCGTTTGTATGTCCTGGTCTATGGTTAACTTCATGCGCTGCCGAAGGCGCGTAAAGATTAGCTGTGGATTAACTCAGTTATGCCTGGGTGTGCGTAGCTAGAGCTATGGTTAACCTTATTGTTTAGCTTGCTTCTCTGTACCGTTACACTTATCGAGGCGGGCGGCTCCTTTTTCCTCCGTCTCCCCAGGTATCATCTGCCTTCTCTTGTTCCGACGACGGGGCCTGGCTTCTCTCAGTCTCTGTGACTCACTTTCCATATCTGCCGAGGTATCCCCACTAAGCCACCCTCATATAAATACAATGTAACACGGTCCCTTCCTCTGTTGTTGCAACGCCGTTTCACCGGCTCCTCCTCTGACGTCGTTCCAAATGGCGCGGCGAGTGGCGCTGCCAGCTGTGGCGGTTGTTAGGCAACGGCTCAGCTCGCGGTGTGGCCACCAGCCACAGCGAAACAGCGAAAATACGGCCGATGAATCTCGCTACAGGAAACGC